TCGGCTTTCGCTAGGTGAGCCCAAGCCTTCTTTTTCTTCTTGCGATTTGGGCACTCCCGTGCCCAATGGCCCATCTTCCCGCAACACCGACAGGCGTTGGAGTCGATTTGCTTCTTCTCCGAAGAAGCCATGCCGTGATGTTTGCCGTTGCCACCGCGACTGGAGGAGGCTGCCTTCCCGGAGTTTCACCGAGCAGCCCACTCCTCTTACGTCAGCAGGAGTTTCCCGCTATCCTTCGTTGCTGTCGCCTGCTCCAGGCGCTCGTCCACCGCCCGTAGATGGCCTGCCACATCCTCGATGGTGAGGGTGGACAAGTCCAGCATCGTCTCTATGGAGAGAGCGATCTGGATGTACTTTACCGGCACGGAGTGGAGGAATTTGGAGACCGCCTCCTCTTCATCGATGGTGACGCCGTGGCTCTTCAGCTTGCTGATGAGCGTCTGCAGGCGGAGGGAAAAGTCCTCCACTATTTCACCATCCTTGAACTTGAGGTTTGCGTACTCCTGCTTCAGAAGCTGGGCCGTCGCCTTCTTTACGCGGTCGGAACCGACGCGCATCGCCGCAATGGCCTCCCACACCTCCTAAGCTGAGCTTTTCGTCCCCAACGGTTCCCTGTACTCCGCCGGTACAGCAGCGAGGATAGCCTCCAACGCTGACATGTCGTCTTCTTCCACGTCGGTGCCCTTGTCAACGGCATTCCAGAGCCGTCGGGCTCTGAGCTTGACCTTCATGGTCACCGACCACTCTCTATAGTTAGTGCGAGTCAGCGTTGGCCAAGTAGTGCCGCTGACCTCCCGCACCGTGCGGACAACTACCTCCGGTAGTGGCTGGGCAGCTATGACAGTGCCACTGTCGTCGCCCAACTCCAAACCGCCTGTCATCGCCATCGGTTAGAATGACGACGGTGCTTGTACGAAGCTCCGATACCACTTGTTGACCTACGGGATCACCGGCTGACGACAGTGAATCAGATAGCCTCCAGACCACTAGCCTCACAACCCTGGCCTCTAGACCACTAGTCCCCAGACCACTAGTCCCCAGACCACTAATCTCAGACCCCTGGGCTACAGACCACTAGCCTCCAGATCACTAGCCGTGCCGACCACCGTACCGGCTTTGTCCGTATCCACACACTACGGATCGAGCTAGAAGAAGAAGGGAGAACAGAGGAAGCATGCACAATACAAGACAACAACGTTGGCCGAGGCCATGTCTGTGTGATGGCAAATCTGAGCTCTCTTTACTGAGTTGCCTTGGTGCCCTATTTATACAACTCTATCTATCTAACTAAAGTACAACGCACATGTCAGTAATAAAGAACTAGATAAGCATCTGAGGTTGACTGCGTCGGCCACCGTTGCATGTGCCCTCTGATCTTGCAGTGAGGTGGCGGCGTCGGCGTCTGCACAGCTGCTATGAAAGATCACAAATAGGGACAAAGTCGGCGTCGTCTTCCTTTGCTGTGTTCACACAAGGTGGTAGTAGATTAGATAACACCGACTAGACTGACGAGATTCTTGTGCTGAAGCTTGGCAACCAGGGCGAGCTAATTCTTCAGCTCTCCGATCCCTTGTGCTGATCGCCTTGATAGCCTCTTCACTGCTATTTCATTACCGTCCGGGAGAGTACCCTACGCCGATCAAACCAATAATAATGCGAGCTTAGTTGTTGGCAATGACAACTTCAATGGAATATATATATGGCTTAGCTCAATCAAGCTCGATATATATAGGCAAGTTTATACTTTGTACTTTGCACCAAACCCGCCTTTCGCCGAGCTTGTTATTGTCGTCGAAATCCCCTTGGTCATGACTCGCAGGAGGTGGAGATGTCAATGATCATCGATTCTATGCTCTCCATGCCTTCATTTCAAAGTGGAATGAGTGGGATCTGTTCAAATATCCAAGCGTGAGCAAGCCGATTGCCTTTACTTTCATCATGTTAATTACTTGAAGTCGCAACTATATATGGCGGCGCGAGAGGGAATAATTCGCACTACATACTTGATTGGGTTCCTCCTGTTTGTGGTCTCCTCCTCCTCCACAAACAAAGCCAGATGAGCAGAGTTAATGACCAGCAAAGCTGCTATGGTCGGGCAGCGATATTACAAGTACGGTGCCGGGGACGCTATACTTCCTCCCTGCCAGTGTTAAAGGGCATTTTTGTAAAAAGAACTCTATGCCTATAAATTTGGAAGGATATAAAGAGTATCTTGGAGTTGCTCTAAGTATTAGTGTTACAAACCTAAACTGATGTTATTTTTTTTAGAATCTAATACACTATGCAAGACAGGATGTGTATGCTATGAATCTATGATGAGCAATGAATTAGATCAATACAAAACATGAATTATTTTTGGCGTCAATTATACTAATAACTTAGTATATATAGCCCCTATTGCCATTGGTTGCTATGACTATTTAAATCTGTGAATCAGTATAGCATTTGAGTGAGATGTTGTGTAGCTACACTCCTTTGAAAAGAATTTATGGAAAACATTGACTGCCAAAAATGTTTTTCTTTAATAACCAAAACTGTTTATTTAATTGTTCCACAAGGCAAAACAACAGCTCCAAATATGTCGTCGTCCTCTCCTTCATTTTCGTGTGCCTTCGGTCAAGTGGCGATGATAGTGCACGTTGGGACAGGCCAAACAAATGGAACAAACGTGTCGTCTCCCTTGACTTCTCAACTTGACATATGACTATCCATGCATGCGTCCTCTCTCTCTCTCTCTCTCTCTCTCTCTCTCTCTCATATTTTTAATTCCAATACATTGTCCCACATGGTCCAACATGTGCCTCACCTATGTAAACATATCACTTAGGAGTATCACTAAAAACAACTAGCCATAATGTGAGTATCTTTACTAAGTCGAAGACCTAAACTAGAGTACACAGATTCTACCATAATGAGACTAGCTAACTATCAGCGGAGCTATGCTCATTTCACTCCCTCCCTCCTCAACTAATCATCATATTGAACGCCTAAATATGTTTTGTATAATTTTCTTCTGATAAACCATACAATTTTCTAGCCGAAAGACCCACAGGCATTGTACCAATGTCACTATCCTAGGGATGACAAGGGCGCAAGATAACATACAAAAACGTACACCCTCCATTTCAAGTTATTGTTATAAACGACGTATAGGAATATGAAGTAAAGAATCAAGCCGCAGAGGAGACACACGATTTAACGTGGAAAACCCCTCCGATGTGAAGGGGAAAAACCACGGGCACCAGCCAGCAACAATCTCACAATCTCAAGAGTTTTGGGTTACACGCCTATGGCGGCTTACAAGAGAATCAAGTTTCCACAAAACCCTAGCAAGGGTGTATATACCGTACCGTACCGTACCGCGGGGGCTTCGCCCCCCGCACCCCCCGAGCACAGGGGCGAGACCTGATGGGCCGGCCTATATCCTGGAGTGAATTTGGAACAACTCCAACAAACTCCACCTTGAGACAAATTCATCTTGTATCATAAATCAACCCTTCATCCTGAACATAACAAAGATAGAAAACCACTGGTGCCAACAATAGTCTCTTGGACTATCCAATTAAACCAATTAAGCTTGAGCACAGCTCAAACTTAGCAACAGGAACAAGCTTTGTCATCATATCAGCAGGATTATCATGAATACTAATCTTGCATACCTTCAGCTTACCTTCTTCAATCACATCACGCACAAAATGATACTTGATATCTATGTGCTTAGTTCTCTCATGGAACATCTCGATCTTTAGTGAGGTAAATTGCACTTTGGTCATCACAAAGTGCAAACTTATGCAAGATTCAACTCCACAAAGCTCAGCGTACAAACCTTTCAGCCAAATTAATTCTTTGCACGCTTCACAAATAACCATATATTACGCTTGATAGAGTAGACAAAGCAACAACCGGCGTAAAGTAGCCCTCTAACTCTCACAAAGACAACCGCCAACAAAGAAACACATAACTGTAAGTGATCTTACTTTGTCGGATCAAAGACATAATCGAGAATCCACATAGACAATAAGACCCTTATCAGTTCTTCCAAACTTTAAACAGAATCTCTTTGTGCCTCGAGGTACCGAAAATCCACCGAAGCGCCCTCCAATGTTCTTTGCCAGGATTAGACATATATCTACTAACAAGACTCATAGCATATGACAAATCTGGACGAGAGCAAACCATGGCATACATCAAAGACCCAACAGCACTAGAATAAGGAACCCTTGACATGTATTCAATCTCTGCATCGTACTAGGACTTTGAAAGCGGTGACAACTTAAAGTGAGGTGCAATATGGGTACTAATGACCTTAGCATTTTGCATGTTGAAACGCTGAAGAACTTTCTTGATATAATTTTGTTGACTAAGAAATAGCAAACCAGATTTTCTGTCTCTACTAATTTCCATACCAAGAATTTTCTTAGCACTACCAAGATCTTTCATATCAAAACCACTACTCAATAGCTTCTTTAACTTAATGATTTCAATCTTACTCTTGGCAAACAATCAAAGACATATCATCAACATATAACAAACAAATATATAGGTGATCCATTAACATGCTTGATGTAAACACACTATCATACTTAGATCTTTTAAAACTGTGTGCTAACATAAATGAATCAAACCTCTTGTTCCACTAACGAGGGGACTGTTTCAAACCATACAAGGATCTCTTCAACTTACACACATATTTTTCCTTGCCAGGCACTATGAACCCTTCTGGTTGGTCCATGTATATGTCCTCCTCAAGCTCTCCATGCAAAAACACAGTCTTCACATCTAACTGCTCAAGCTCAAGATCATGTGAAGCAACAATACTAAGGAAAGTACTGAATTGAAGCTGTGTTTTACCCTTTGGAGAGAACACATCATTGTAGTCAACACCCGGAATTTGACTGTAGCCTTTAGCAACTAACCTTGCCTTATACTTTGGAGGCTCGTTTGGAGATAAACCCTCCTTTCTCTTGAAGATCCATTTGCAGCTGATGGTCTTCTTATTCTTAGGCAAAGGTACAATCTCCCATGTCTTTGTTCTTCTCAAGAGATCGCATCTCCTCGTGCATAGCGAAATCCAATTCTCGAAGATCACCACAACGAATAACTTCTTTATAGGTTCTTTGGCTCATGAACATTCTCCACTGTTCAAAGCACAACTCAAAGCATAGTAAGACAAATTACACTCTTCAATAAGACGCTTAGGAGGTGCAATTGTCCTTTTGACTTTGCGTTGAGCAATAGGTAAATCCTCCTCTAAGCGCAAAATAGGAGGAGTTTTTTGAACATCATCATGAGCATCATCCTCAAGAACATCATTATCATGGTCACCATGCTCATCAACAGCTCCACCGCACTTTTTGTATCATCATCAACATGCTCCACTGCATGCGCATACGCTCTTGCAGCTCTTTTTATGAAACATGATCCGAGGGCAAGTCGCAAGTAAACATCATGATTCATTGAAAACAACACTTACGCTCATAAAAGTCTTTCTTGTTTCAGATTCCACAATTTATAGCCTTTGACTCCCGAACTATAACCAAGGAAAAAACACTTAATGACTCTAGGCTCTAATTTTCCATTATCAACATGAGCATAAGCGATTGCATCCAAAAACTTTCAGCTGTGAATAATCGTGAGCGCGTTTTGGACCATACCTCAATGGGAGTTCTTTTATTTAGTGGAATAGAAGGTGACCTGTTTATCAAGTAATGACGGTATTAGCGACTTCAGCCCAAAAATGCTTGCTCATCCCGGCATTAGACAAAGATGCAACGGGCCTTGAACATGATTGTTACGTTTCATGCGTTCGCCACACCATTCTGTTGTGGAGTATGGGGTATGGTGTGATGCCTAACAATGCCTTCCGATCTGCAATAATCATTAAATTCACGCGAACAAAATTCTCCACCATTATCAGTATGAAGCAATTTTACCTTCCTTTCAGTTTGCCTTTCTATCATTACTTTCCAGTCCTTAAAAGCAGCAAAAGTATCATTTTTCTGTTTCAGAAAATAAGGCCAAACCCTTCTAGAGTAATCATCAATAATTGTAAGCATGTAACGAGCACCACCAAGTGAGGACTTACGGGAAGGGCCCCATAAATCAGCATGAACATAATCAAGAGTACCTTTAGTGGTGTGAACAGAAGTGTTGAAATGTACCCTTTTATGCTTCCCAAAAATACAATGCTCACAAAACTTTATTTTACTCGAAGTGCAGCCATCCAGCAGGTTTCTCTTCATCAATTCTGCCATACCATGGTGACTCATATGTCCCAAACGCATATGCCAAAGGTTAGTTTTACTAGGTTCATCATTAGTAACAGCAGCAACAGCGGAATCAGAACCAGGTAAAGTACACCCTCTAAGGACATATAACTTTGCAGAATTAAGATCACCTTTCAAGCAAACAAGAGAACCTTTTGATACCTTCAGAACGCCATCTGAACCGGAATATTTGTAACCTTCTGCATCAAGCGTGCTCAATGAGATAAGATTTCTGGACATCCCTGGTATATACCTAACGTTTTTCAGCGTGCGTGTCATGCCATCATCAGTCTTGATCTGAACTGATCCAATCCCCACAATGTCACACGGGTTATCATCTCCCATCCGCACAACATCCCCTTTCTGCACAGGCTTATACGAGCTAAACCAATTTCTGTTAGTGCAAATATGAAATGAACATGCGGAATCGAGAATCCATTCATCATGACCAGCAACACAACCAGCAAATACTACCAGACAATCTCTAGAATCATCATCAGACGCAGCAGCAGCAACAGAGACCTTACCAGCCGACTTGTTTTTCCTCTTCTCCTTATTCTGTACTTTTCTACAATCCTCAACATTATGATTTGTCAGCTTGCAATAAACACAGAACTTTTTATTACCATGCGGCTTGGACTTTGAACGGCCTCTCCTTTCGTAGTTCTTTCTTCCATCATTGCCATCATTGGAGGATCTGTTTTCAGTTCTGCCTCTCACATGCAAAGCATCGCCCTTGGAGGACGACGTCCCATCATTCTGCACCATGCCTCTCATCTTCTCCCTAGACTGGAGAGCCTCATAAACTTCCTTTAGGGTTAGTTCATCACGGCTCAAAAGTATGGTGTCACGAAAATTTGCATACGAATTTGGCAAAGAACATAGCAGTAAAAGACCTAAGTCCTCATCATCATACTTCACCTCCATCGACACTAGGTTGGCGACGATCTTCTTGAATTCAAATGATGTGGCTCATCTTTGAATCCTCCTCCTTCATCTTCAGGGTGAACGACTTCATCTTCATCTACATCTTCTTGGTTAGATCCTTGGACATACTGAGATCGATTCGATTTTGACCATAGTTCGCAAAGCAGTTTTCTCTTCGAGACACTCTCGCAAAATATCATTATGAAGATGCAACTGAATTAGGACGAGCGCCTTCTGATCCTTGCGGATCTCTTCTGGAGTCCACTCGGCCTTCCTCTTTCCGAAACTATCCAGTGCCTCATCATAGTCATGAGTCTGCGCCAGAATCCCCCGCATCTTGACTTGCCATAGCGAGAACCGCGTGTCGTAGTTCAGCAGCGGAAGATCGAACTTCATCGACGTCGTCATGAACCCTAACAGCAACCAAAGCTCTGGTACCACTTGTTATAAACGACGTATAGGAATATGAAGTAAAGAATCAAGCCACAGAGGAGACAAACGATTTAACGTGAAAAACCCCTCCGATGTGAAGGGAAAAAACCATGGGCACCAGCCAGCAACAATCTCACTATCTCAAGAGTTTTGGGTTACACGCCTATGGCGGCTTACAAGACAATCAAGTCTCCACGAAACCCTAGCAAGTGTGTATATACCGTACCGTACCGCGGGGGGCTTCGCCCCCCGCACCCCTCGAGCACAGGGGCGAGACCTGATGGGCCGGCCTATATCCTGGAGTGAATTTGGAACAACTCCAACAGTTATAGTTTAGTTTAGTTTAGTCCTAATAAGTCAAACTTTTTATTTGACCAATTTAATAGAAAAATACACAAACATCTACAATGGCAAATTTATTTAATTAAATTCATTATGAAAATATATTGAAAGTTCATTTATTTAAACTTGTAGATGTTAATACACATTTTCTATAAATTTTCTATAATATAAGTTATAATTTAGAACGGAGTAGTAGTAGTCAAAGGGTACGAGGGTGGCAGCGTTGAGGTCCTAGGCTAGGTATGGTGGGAGTGAGTAGGTTATTATTAGTAGATCTTCGTATAATTTCGTGGAATCATCTGAATGTTGGATTTAGAATCAAGGGCCAAAAGGAAATAAATCATTTCAGCTAGGACAATGATCATATGCGAGTTATTTCTTATTGATGAGATATCCTCATTTACTCTCAAGGACAACATACTGCAATGTTCACTAAAAAATATAAAACATTAGATTAAATAAAATAGTTCCAATTTGTGGATTTCTAAAATTCGGAATACTTTTTTTCTAAAGAAACAGTTTGACTTCAATATGATAAAAAATATCTAAATAAATAACCATTACAAAATATAATATAGAATAGCTAAAATATGGACTAAGATTAAAAAAACGAAGTCCATATCAAAACAAATCTTAAAAATTGAAATTCAGAAAGAAATAAGTTTTAAACTTTATTCCCATATGAATTCAAAAGTAAAATATCTTAACAAAAGCATACACTAAATAAAAAATCATAAGTAACTAATAAATATATAAAAATCACTTCCATTATGAAGAGAATCTCCAGCAGTTTGATATAATTTACTCGCTAAACTAATAGATCTAGCAAGAAATAATAATATTAAATTTTGTCTTTCTCCAACTATCTCTTATAATAGGTTCCTAAACGATTTTGCATTGGAAGCCCTGAACTATTTTTAACTAATCAAACATTTTTAATAGTTTCTTTGTCTCACTGCTTTCTTATCTAGAATTCTTTATTTTCTTAATTTACATGTATGTCCAATTTACTCTGATCTCCTGATAAAAACGCTGCATGGGGAGTGGATATGGGGTTCCTTTCAACTGCGAAAACTTACGAGTTGAAGATGATATTTGGCAAGTTCTTATTTTTAAGGAGCTATTTTACCAAACTGTTGGAGGGCATTTTTTTTCTCTTTTTGCAAAAATATCAAAATAGGGAGTTGTTTTACGAAACTCTTGCAGATGCTCTAAGCGTGTTTGCTTGCTGCTTTACGGAACTCGCATGGCAAGGAGGTGTCTCTAGACACTTGATTTTGAGTGTCTAGGGTTGGATCAAGCTGCCTAGTCAGAGGCACCCAGCCCAAGGTCCAGGCAGCAATCAAACATCGCTCCATATCTTCTCTAAACTTTGAGCAGTTAGCATCTATTTCTGTTGATTGTTCTTGTGGGTTTTGTGCCGTTGATCATTTGTGAGATGTAGTGTCATGATTTATTTTAGCTAAGCCCGATAGTCACTGAAATTTTGTACTCCCTTCATCCCAAAATGTAAGATGTTTTGGCTTTTCTAAATATATAGTAACACTTAACTATACACTTATGTCTAGATATTGGTAGCAAAGACAAGACACCCAAGAGTTAAGCTTTGTCTATGGTAATTGGTAATCCTCATTCTTTACCCCCTGGAGTCCCACACGAGGTAGCAGGCAAGCGGTCATTACTCACCTCCTCCAGCTGCCGAAGGCGTCACACTCGTGGGCCCCATTGCCGTTGTCGGGGATCCCGAGTCCCCTGACTCCGCCGCCAACTGCACCATCACCGGGCTGTTGAGGAAGGAGTACACCTCGTACCGGTAACTGCACCTGATCCCGAGAACCCTGCCACCAACGCGGTCCGTGAACAGCCTCGGCATCTTGGCGATGATGCCGGCGAGACATACCCTGCACTGCGCCGGCGTCAGGTCCGGCGTGCACTGCGCCCAGCTGTACACCTTGGGGTACTCCTGGTCGAAGTCGGCCTCCCCGGAGGCGCACTGCCGCGTGGAGTTGTACGCGGCGTACTCGGCGGTGGCGTTCACGAGCACGCCCGCGCCCACGAGGCGGTTGAACCGGGCCGGGTCCGACGTGACATTCCGGAGGTTGACGCGGTTTGTCGACGCCGACGCGATGTTGTCGGCGGAGGAGAGGAAGCGGCCGTCATCGGAATAGTAGAGAATGCAGGGGTCGAAGTTGTTAGATAGTTAGGTATTTTCATAATTAATTTAATCTAGAAATATAACATCAGCAGGTTCGTGATGGCATATATGTGCATGTGTATATTTCTAATAAACGCTACAGTATGCAAACATGACATACATATCGATACAGTAAAAGCGCAAAGTACAGTAATCACAAAGATTAAAGTGTACCCAGCGGAGGGTCCCATGTTGAGGGCATCGGAGACTTCATTCGCACTAGTCGATATAGTGCGTTGCTCGAAGTCCTGGACCGCAGTCGATGTAGAAAGATGTTCGCAGTGCAGTTCCACGAACGGATCTCCAGGAAGAAGACGCCTTGCCATTCCGCAATCAATCACCGAGAAAAAGACAGGTTCAAAGAGCGATCACCACCAGGAAGAAGACGTACATGGACGAGCAGTCGCGGATCGCTCCCCAAAAACCTAATCACCGCTCACCCCGTGCAAGGTTCTCAGGCGGACGAGGGTTCCGGAGGCACCTACTCTCCCGCTACTCCGTGCGCGCAGAGGTACGGGACGGGGAAGCCAGAGGGCTGCTGAGATATGGTTTCTCTCGGGAGCGGTTTCGGAAGACTTAGATCTGGACTGACAGAGGACTACGGATATATGATTGCGACGGGAAGGGAGAAAGGCAGCGGAGAATCCCAGGAGACGGGAACTTACGCATTCAATTCACCTCCACCATCAAGAAGAGTAACTCGCGTATTATGTGGATTTAAATGGAAAAAGACTGGCCACGCTCGCTCGCTCGCCGCCCGTCTGCCACGCCATGGCCCGGCCTGGCCGCCGCCGGCGGCGGCGCGCGCGCGCATGTGGCACGCCTATGTCCTTTTCTCAGCTTCTCAATTTAGATGAAGAATTTTCAACCATATAAGCTGAGTCAACGTTCAGTCAAAATCCCGTATGATATTAAACCATACAACACTTAATGTTACGTACCATAGAGTTTTATTTGATATATTAAATATTATATGGGCCAAGCCCATAATATATCCAACAATCCCACCAAACTCTAGGGTTTGTAACAAAGTAATCTCAGAACCACATTTCTTTTATATACTAGTGTTTTGATGGAGACCGTTAAGTTAAACATCTATCTAGAATAATAGTTTCACTCAGTCACAACTGAACAATGGACTAAGCATTGAATTGACAGTTTTGTGTTAGGTGAATGTCACTAAAGTTCTTAGCTGATACTTGGCTGTAAAAGACATCTTCTCTATTTGAAGCATATAAGTCATACTCCAGTGCCTTTCATGAGTATTTAGAGATCACCCAAATCTCATAGACTGTGACCAGCAGTCTGACTCATATAGGTGTTTTCCTCAAAAAATATTCTGTAGGACAACATCTTTATTTTAGCAAGCCACTTGGAATACATTAAAGTAAAAACCAACCTGTCTTACAGAAAGAAAAGATATGCATCAGAAATGAGTCTTACTAAGGATCTTTCTTCACAATTTACTAATAGCTTGTTTCACCATCCTACTTTACGGGATCTCCGATCACATAGAACAGGTTACCACTATAGTAAATTTCAAGTGGGTCTCAAACCCATCTCTCTCGATGCACTTTCTATCACATTACGTGACAGACCCTTAGTGAATTGATCTGCCAGATTGTTAGACGTGTGAACATAGTCCAACGTTATTACTCCAGAGTTTCTCAATTTTCTAACAGATTTTAGTCGTCTCTTAACATGCCTCGTGGACTTCATGTTATCCTTAGAACTGTTAACCTTCGTAATCACAGTTTGGTTATCACAGTTCATAGAAATAGCCGGTATGAGTTTTTCAACAACCGATAAATCCATAAGGATCACGAAGCCACTCAGCCTCAGAGCCAACGGTGTCTAATGATGTGAGTTCTGCTTCTATTGTAGACTTTGTTAAGATAGTTACTTGCAAGACTTCTAGGAAACAGCACCACCTCCAAGCGAAAACACATATCCACTTGTGGCATAAAGCTCATCAGCATCAGCGATTCAGTTGGCATCACAATAGCCTTCCAACACCTTAGGGTGTCCGGTATAACGAATACCATGGCTCATAGTGCCCTTTAGATAGTGCATCACTCTCTCAAGAGCACGGCAGTGATCATCTCCCGGGTTTGACACAAACCGGCTCAGCTTGCACACAGCAAATGAGATGTCAGACCTTGTTGCACTAGCAAGGTACATGAGTGAACCAATGATCTAGAAATATCTCAACTGATCCCTTGCTATTCTTCGATTTTTTCTCAATAGCACAATAGCGTCATAAGGTGTAGGAGCAGGTGCACAGTCAATAAACCCAAAGTGACTCAGCACCTTTTCCACATAGTGGGATTATAACAGAGTTACCCCACCATCACCTTCTCTTAGAAGCTTGATATTAAGAATAACATCAGCCTCTCCCAAATCTTTCATCTCAAAATTTTTAGATAAA